AACAAGGACTGAAACTACTCAAACTAATGGAGAGTTTACTCTAAGGCTACATGCGCATAGAAATTTAGGACAAGATCCAGTAAAGTCAGCAAAAGTGATAATCCTTTAATCAATTATTTCCACTAGAAAGCAATCACCAAGGCCACTCAGATAATCCCCACATACACCTTGTGGTACTGCAGTTGAGTGCCTCCAAGGTGGATTAATTTAATGGCTCACTCAAATCTTTCCATCTATTAGTTTCCTATGGCTGCTACAACAAATTACCACAAACCTAGTGGCTAAAACAACATAAAATTATTATTTCACAGTTCTGGAGGCCAGAAGTTTGAAATCAGTTTCACTGGATGAAATGAAGATATCTTCAGGGCCGCTTTCCCTTCTGAGACTCTAGAGGAAAATTTGTTTCCTTGCTGTTTCCAGATTCTAGAGCCGCATTCTTTGCATTCCTTGGCTCATGGCTCCTTTCTCCATCTTCAAAGCCAGTAGTGTAACATCTTCAAATCTCTCTGTGCTTCCATCACATTCCATTCTCCTCTCCTGCTTATAAGGACCCTTGTGACTACCTTTAGGCTCCACTCAGATAATCAAGGATCATCTCCCTATCTCAATATCCTACTTTTATCACATCTGAAATTTCTTTTGTCATTTAAGATAATATTCCAAGGTTTCCGGGATTATGTTAACAGCTTTTGAAGCCATGATTCACCCTACCACACAATCTTTCTACTCTGCCTTCCTCAGCTAGGTGGCTTTATCCTCAGCTGCCATCCGTTGTGGCTACATGATGGCTGCATATTCTAGGAAGCACCTGCAGACACTAATGTTCAGTGGAAACAAAAAGGGCTCTATGTATGTGTCTCTATTTATCATCAAGGAAACCTTTCCCAGAAGCCTCCCAAGAAGGGTTTCTTCATAACTCGAGAGGAATCCCACTACATGCTCATTTCTAAATAAATCACTAAGTAGGGGCAATTAATGCAGAGTCCCTGAACAATTACATTTGTTAGAAGAATAGAAGGTCAGACTATTAGATGATGTCAATATTAGGGAAACAACCAACATTTTTCTTACATTTCTCTAGCATTAACTTAGCATTTCTATACCATGAGAGTTTATTTCATATGCAAAAGTGTCTGTAGGATTTTGTGCATGTGTATATGATTTCCTTTGTTAAGATTTATGTTTCATTTAGTTATAACACTAGCTAACAGTGAATCCTCCCAGTAACACTGACCCTTCATGTCCTTGACCCTTATTCATTACACTCCAGCATCTGTAGAATGCTACCTTTTGTTTTTTGCTTCTAAACTTAATGCATGTCAGGTTATAAATGCATTTTAAATACATTTTTAAATAACACATCTCCCTATGGTTTCAATGTTTAAAACCAAAGACAAGAATAGAATGTTAGAAAGATTAATCAACTCTAAGAGTCAATAATATAATTCCTTATTTTCTTCAGCCGTTTATATATTATAATGTATATTAGTGGAATCCGTCATTTTTAAACATATGGAAGAAAGCGAAAAAGAAGCTTTCCCAAATTAAGCTGCACTGTGATGCCGCTACAGCTTTCTCATGTAGTACTGTAATCCCAAAAGCAAATGTCTGACATTCTCTTTCTTAAGTTGGAACCTGATTTATGGGTTTATGCCTGCATCAATGCCTCCTTTAGATCATTGCAGTTTGAAAAAGAGTAAACCAGCCAGCTTAAGATTGTCTTGTTAACAGTTCTGGAAAAATAATAACCAGCTTGTCATACAAAGGAAAGAAGATACAAGAGGTACAGAAAGAAGAAAGATCTTGACTTCTATTGAATAAATTAACAGTATCTTGGATGTTTTATGATATGAAATTTGCTGCCAGCAGCAACTAGCAATCAATGTTTACCGTTGCCCTTCTCACACACCTTTGCGGACATTCCTAGATTTGATATGAATATTGCAAGTTCAGTAATGTAACATGGTCATCCTATCATAAGGAAAGAAGATTTGACCAATAGCTCTTGTTTTGCAATTTTAATAAGTGACAAGGTTGTAAGATAAGTTCAAATTGACTAGAATGCCTGCTTTTAAATTTCACTGAAACAAATAAATATGTGAATATTTAACTATAACTGAATTACCCGACCCCTCCTCAACACCCACATAAGTCATAAGAGGTCCCTCTTTCTCTAAACACTCCTCAACGTTTCACCGGCACCTCTCTTCCCGCCGTTTGCATTCTACTCTTCATTACAATTTGTCTCATGAATATCTTACTTCCATTATTGTATTTTCAATGTTTATGTATATGGAGAGAGTGTCCTGCATACAACAGGTACTTTAAAATATATATTGAATAAATGTTTGCTTCCCAATCACATTGCAGGATTTCCCATTCAGTCCTGTTTTTACGATGTCTAATTAACTCTTGTGATGAATAAAGACACTTTCTACATTAAAAGTCATGTCTTTTTTTTCTTTTTGTTCTATTTTTTTTCTAATTGAAGGCCAAGTGAGGTATTAGCATTAACGGAAACAAACAAAAAACACCAGTCCTACCGGGTTACTTTCGCTTATCCTTCAGGTTTCAAAAGACAAGTAAATTTCTCATTATTGTCACTGTAGATGCTTTGGGGAAATTATTTGTACCATCTCTGATGTTAGACAGTCATATCAATGTGAGCATGGTTCTTGTCTCTGTTCTCAGCTTCTCCTCTCCCACACCTAAACTGGAGCCTGCTTTGTGGTTCGCATTCAATAGATGTGTACTGAATAGAAACATAAGTTATAAAAATATAAAAGTTAATTTATTTTTTTAAAGAGGGATGTGTCACATAGACCGGATTAATAAATAAATTAAATAAATAATATATAAATAAATAAGGTCGTTAATACCTACCCCAAACTTTATGTGAACCCACCTCATTTCTGGAGGTTTTATACATTATAGCGTGGACTCTGTTAAAAGATAAACTGAGGCATATTAAAATTTGTAAGAGTTTATTTGAGCAAAAATCTATTTGAATTGGGCAGAGCCAAAGCAGCCAAATGATTAGGAGAACTCCTGGACAGAAGCTCGGGGAGAGACTTCTATAGAGGACAGGCAGGAACCAAGTGAGGAAATTATTGACTGGCTAGAGCTTAAAGCCTAGCTGGCTATGTGATTCGTTGTCCTTAGGTTTCCATTTCGTAACCTTGAGGTATTTACAGGCTTAGATTTTGGTTTACTTACGTAGGGTACCAGGCCATTAGAGCCACCTCAGCTAATGGCCTCTTTGTTTAATAATATAGCAACTCTTAAATTAGTCCCATTCTGGCAACCTTTTCTTCAAATTTGAATCTCGCTTTCAGTTTTCCAGAGACAGCAAAAGCGAAAGAAAAAAGATAACGAAAATGTCCATCTTGATTCCGATTGAGTAAGTGAGTGATGTTTTGGTTACTCCCCGTCATATATTCCTGTCGGTGCCTTACTGATGCCTTATCACATGGTCAGTTTCTCTGAGCACAGACGAAAGTGCTATTGGACACTCCCTATTGTATATTTTCCTACAACCCAATTTTAGCATCTCTGAAATAAACCCCCAAGATGAAAACAAAAATGTTTTTAATTTCCCACTTCTAATCTGAGCTGCTGCCATGTCTATATTTTAGAAATTGTAAAGTAAATGAGGCAGTGATGAAGCTTTCATGCCAGAGACGCTTTTAAATATCAAAGCATGTCATTACTGCCGAGTTTCAGTTTTCTCCTAATTCCTTAATTAGATAGGATAAGACCTGCATCTCTTCAGCAAATTCTCCTGCTATCCTTTCCTGGCCTCCAGAGAATCTCGTATTTGTATGCATCATATTTTATTTGTAATGGACTTTTACAAATTGTAGACTTTGTTCTTTCATGCTATCCTTGAACTAGAGGTGACTTCTAGATTTCCATGTTCCTGAAAACAAAAGCTAAATTGTGCTGCTTCTTTGTTTCAATCAGCATGTTAGCAGATAAATTGATTCAAACAGATAAACTGTTTTAAATTCTGTGGAGAAAATAGAAGGAATTACCTTATTTGATAATGGGCAATATGAATATAATATAATAATGCATTTCAAATAAACAATACAATATAAATAAACATATTTGAGAATGGGAATTTGGGAAATTGTTTTTAATACTAATAACCCAGCAGCTAATTGAGGCATTAGATACGACAAACAGAAAATTTTTCTTCTAAAATAGTTTTAACCGGATCATACAAACAGATTTTGTTTCTTTTTTTTTCAAGTGGCCATGAAAGTTTCACGTTACTTTTGTTTTTTTTTTTTTTGAGGAAGATTAGCCCTAAGCTAACATCTGCTGCCAATCCTCCTCTTTTTTGCTGAGGAAGACTGGCTCTGAGCTAACATTAGTGCCCATCTTCCTCTACTTTATACTTGGGACGCCTACCACCACATGGCTTGACAAGCGGTACGTAGTTCCACACCTGGGATCTGAATAGGCGAACCCCAGCTGCTGAAGGAGAACATGCGAACTTAACTGCTATGCCACCAGGCTGGCTACTTTACGGGAATGCTTTTTAAAAAATTTTCTATTCTTAAGATGATGAAGGCAAAATCAACCACCATTTCCCCTGACAAAATGTTTTTTTAAATGGAGGTCAATTTTGTGTTTCCAAATCTTCCAACAGATATTTATAATCAATTTGTTTAAAATATTGTAGAGTAAATTCTTGAATTCTTAATTGATTCATAATTGTTTTCCAACCTTACAATTTATAGGATTGCCCTCATCAATGTTGAATTTGAGGCTTCATAGTTTCTTTCATTCGAACTTCTCATGTTCATTGGAACTTCTCAAAACGGATATCATGTGACATAGGTACTGGAGGAATAATAATTAACAGTCAGGAGTAGCCTGCCTCTTAGGACAGAAAACTTCCTCAATTTGGCAAAATGCCTTGTTGGTCTTTTTGGCTGGGAAATAGCCTTTGGGCTATTGTAGAGTGATCTAGAAGTGACAAGGAGATAGTGCTCACTTCAGCAGCACATATGCTAAAATAGGAATGCTATAGAGAAGATTAGAATGGCCCCTGCACAAGAATGACTTGCAAATTCGTGAAGCATTCCATATTTAAAAAAAAAAAAAGTGACAAGGAGATAAGATTCCTGCTTAGTAATGCTCTTAAATTGGGACAGTTGCTAGTAAATTCATTAAAGAATAAAACAAAGGTGACCAAAGGTAGGAGAGAGAGGGTGCAGTGATATGGCAAGAACTGGAGCCCCAACAGGATAACCACCCGAGGCCTGACCAGCGGAAGAGTGATCAGACTCCACTGGGCTTCCTGCTTCTGCCTGTGTTATTACCTTTCTCCTGGCTCCTGCCTCATGCCTAGACACCCTCCTGAGGGGAGTGTGAGGCCTGAGTTTAGGACACATGCCATAGCAGTGGTGGCACTAGTATGTGGATTGTGTATGTGTGTGTGTGCATGTGTGTGTGTGCCGCTTAGATTCTCTGGGGACACAGGATCATTTAACCAGAAGCAGTCTTTGAAGGTCTGGATGCAGGAGAAATATGACACGTTAAGAGAGAACTCATTTCTGCTAGCGTCTTCTTGAGTGGTCAAGTTGGTTCTGGAATTCAGTTTGGCCCCACTCACCAAGCCTTGCTACAGGACCTAGGCCTGCCATCTGTCTAGACTTTGGGACTTCTTTATCTAAAGGTGTCCCAACACACACATGCTATGTACTAATCATGATCCTGCCTTGTCAGTTCCTACCGTAGGCCTAAAGGAGGCATTTTAGGGACCTGGACCACAGAATACCTGCTGTGCAGTTAACAATTAATGAGCTCCTTGACTACACCACTAGGCTGGTGGCCCAGAGTAAAACATCCTTGGCATAAGTAATATTCCCTGATTTTTCTCCTCAGTCTCTGACTCTTTCTGATAACTTGCTAGCTAGATATTGATATAGATAGCTTGATATGTATATATGTACAAGTGTGTATAGCCAGCCCTGGTGGCCTAGTGGCTAATATTTGGTGCTCTCACCATTGCATCCCCTGATTCATTTCCCGGTCAGGGAATCATACCACCCGTCTTGTCAGTTGTCACATTGTGGCAGCTGTGTGCTGCTGTGATGCTGAAAGCTATGCCACCGGTATTTTAAATACCAGCAGGGTCACTTATGATGGAAAGTTCTCAGCAGAGTTTCCAGACTAAGACAGACTAGGAAGAAGGACATAGCCACCCACTCCAAAAACATTGTCCATGAAAACCCTGTGAATAGCAGTGGAGCGTTGTCTGATATAGCACCAGAAGGTGAGAGGATGGCGCAAAAGGATTGGGCAGGTTTCCGCTTTGCTTTACAGAGTCAGAATCAACTCGAGGGCACTAACACAACATACGTGTATATAGAGATATATGTGTTTATGCATGCACATATACACACACATCCATAATATATGCATGCATGTATTATATGTATATATAATGGTATATACATGGCGCAAAATAAAATAGCACAGAAGTAGCACTAGCTTCCACAATTCTCCATCAATAATCCCACTTTCCAGAAGCAAATGTTGATTTTTATTTCTTTTGTGAATTACCTAAATACCTTTAAGTAACAAGCGTAATAAGAGTATTCCTCTGTTTCTCAATTTATCAATTTTAGACGATATCTTTTGACTCTCACCTATGAAAAATAATTGCTGTGCAATTCTATCATCCTACTAAGCTTCCTCACTCCTCTCAAAATCTGATGTATACTTTTTCTAATTTATCTCTTGGTTAATTTAGTATAATTACATGACTCATTTGAACTTTGATTTCTTGGACCACCAATTTGTGCAGCATATTGAGAACCTCCACTGTATGAAATGAGAATGTTATTGTCCTTATTTTTCAACACCTCTCTTTATTTGCTACCCTATTTCCTGAAAGATCTAACTTTGTTTTCGTATTTTCAAGTTTGTTAAACTTTTATTCTCTTTTTCTTCCATGTTTGAGTCATCAGTATTTTGTGTTTAGGTTGATTCTAAAATTAAAACAAATACTCCTGATTATATGAATGCTGTTAGTTGCAGTAGTGTGTAGGATTATGTGTCCTTTTCTGGAGGTTCAAGGCTAAGAACCTTTTGCATCAAGGATTTTAAAAAACAATATTGTCATTATTTTTGTCTCTCTATGTTTTAATACTTGCTTAGAGATTTCTTTATCATATACACACAAAAGTCCAAAATTGAGAGGCATAATTTTATGTTCATATGGATTAAAAATACTTAAATATACATATATATATTTCAGACACACACACATATACACACAGAAATGCCACGTGTCAGGTTCTTTCTAAGTATATAGAAACACATTTAATTAACTGATTTAATCCTCGCCATAATCCTATTGAGAGTGGTACTTATTATTATGCCTGTTTTAGCGATGAGGATATTGAAACCCAAAAATGGTATGTGGCATGTCCAATTGTTACATAACTGGTGGGTTAGTGATGGCACTGAGATTCAAACCCAGGAGTTTTGCTCTAGTGCTGTGGTTTTTGTTAACCATCATATAATGTTTTCATAGGAAGAATTAAATTTAGATGCATGTTAAGATATTATTTATGGGCCTTTCAACAGAAAGAATGAAATTCAAGTGAGATTTTATAACATCTTGACATACTGAACCCCAACAAACTACTTTTTTATGCTCATAATACAAGGGAGAATAAATGAAAATATAGTCATTTTTTAGATATTTTCTTTCTGCACTTTTAATTTCTTTATTCTTTTATGTGAAAACAAATAGTACTTTTTGCTTATCTGAGTTTTAAAATATTACATTCTTGTAGCATTCATGTAGAATTGATAAAAACAGGTATATTTTGGGACTCATTTATCTACATTTTAATTTGAGAGCCTGTTTCAGAAGATACTTAGAGTCAATAACTGACAAGAATCTTTATTACAGTTATTAGCCAAATTAAGAGTAAGTTCTTAGTTCCAGTAAGTAGCTAAAATTAAACATTAATAACTTTCATAAAATGTTCAAAATGACAATTAAAATTAAACATTAATGCCATTTGCAATACTGTCCAAAATGGCGCTCTTATATAGAAAACTCATATTCAGATTACATTATAGATGCTGTGTGAATGTTGTTTGCAAAATCAAAAGATGAACCTCAATGCCCCAAATCCTTGTTAAATGCCCCTCTCCTGAGTGTAAGCTGGGCCTGTTACTGCTTCAATGCATAGAAAATGGCAAAGTGAAGTTATTGTTCAGATGTAATTAAAGTCCCTAATTGGTTGGCTATAAGTTAACCAAATGGGAGATTTTCTTTTTGATGGACCTGACTTGAACAGGTGGGATCTTTAAAAGGGGTCAAGAGGTGAGAGACTGAATGCACAGACTTCTTTCCTGGTGGCCCTCGAGAAGCGACATTCCATGAGTTGTACAGGAAATGATTTCTGCCAACAACCAATGAGACTAGAAGAAGACCTTGAGCCTCAGATGAGACTGCAACTTCAGCCAACACTTGGCTGCAGCTTTTTGAGACCCTGAGCAGAGAACCCAACTAAACTGTGCCTGTATTTCTGACACATAGGAACTGTGAGATAATAAATGAGTATTATTTTAATCCTCTAAGTTTGTAGTAATTTCCCCTACAGTAGTAAAAAACTAATATAGTGAACTACCTCTTAGGGAAAAAAGTAGAATATTTGTCATAAAACTCATTTCCAAGTTTGATAACATTTCATCACATGCACATAGACACGCAAATATGTGCACACGTGCATGCACTACTAGGATGTCTAACTCCTCAGAGTTTGTAGAAAAAAATCAGCCTCAATAATTATATGTAAATACTTCTAATTGTCACAGAATGTCAGCGTTACACAAAGAGCTGAGACGACACCTGGTCTAAACTCTGTTTTTCATTTAAGAAATAAAGAGCTGCAAAAAGGTGCAATGCTTGCCCAGGGCCACACAAGCTGCAGGTGAGTTGCTGGGATAAGAGCCCAGCCTGAGCCCCTAATACTAGACCCGGTTTCCTCCCGGTACAAGTTACCAGAGGCAAATGGCAGAATCTAGTCAGTCTGCACCTACTGGTACAGAATGACAGATGACTCATCTTTATGATCTGCAGAAATAAGATTCTGTGATCTTGCAATGAAGAGGATTGAAAGGATTTTACTTCACAATATACCTAAACCTAAAGATGTTAGGTCAATCAGCTGGATGTTTGTATCCTATATGCCAGTTCTCAATGATTAACTGTACATTTTCATACCAAAGAGACAGTTTAAATCTTACCTATGTCGATCGAGACCTGATCTCTGTCTTGTGAATAGATTACAGTGCTTGAACGAGTCGGGATGATTATAACATAGTGAAGCTAATTCACAGAAGTGCAGAGCACCAATAGATACATGAAAAGATGCTCAGACTTACGAATACCTGAATAACTGCAAATAATGATAACGAGAGACTATTTTTACTTTTCATTATTTAACACATATTTATTGAGTCCTTATGCTTTAGGCACTTTGTATTATTTCTGAAAATAAATAGGAAAGACATCGTTCTTGCCTTCATGGATTCCATATTCTCGTGTTAGAGATAGACATTGAACACACACAAATAAACCTAAAATTGAATCCATATTAAGTGCTATGGTGAAAAGGACCGGGGGACTATGAACACATATATCTCGACAACTGACCCAATCTTGAGGAAGGCAGAGGAGACTTTCCTGGGTAAGTGACTTTTAAAGGTGAAATGGAAATTGACTGATTGATTGATCATGTGCTTGAAGGGGTTATGTGATATCCAGACAGATGGAAAGAACAGAATAGACTTCGGGTGAGGAAATTGAATGAGGGATGCTCTCAGATGCACCTGTATCAAAGAATCCTTAGCTTGGGAAACAGATTGGGATTCTTGCTATATCTGTGTTTAACTTCCCTTACACCTGAAGTACTTATGAGTTTCCTTTAAAGTGGTGGTTCACAACCTGACTCCAATAAGAATTTTCATGCAACTTTAAAGAAACATTGGTGTTTAAGCTGTACTCCCAAAGATTCTGATTTGATTTTTGGGTGTCAGTAGTTTTTAAAGGCACTCAATTGATTC